TCCCCCCCGACTGCAGCCCGGGGCGCGCGCGGGCGGAGGAAAGGAGGCAGCGAAAGTTGGGCAGGAAACTTTTGGCCCCGCCCCTCCGGCCGCCGGCCCCGCCCCGCTCCGCGATCCGCTATCTGCCACAGGGCTGACCCCTCCCGGGGGCAGCTCCCAGGGTGGGGTCCTCTGAGCCCCGCCCACGCCCCGCCCCGCCTGGTCTCGTCGTCTCCTTCCATTGGCTGCTTCATTAAATATGCATATGAGGGCAGGGGCGAGGGAAATGAGATCTCTCTTCTCTGGCTGGACAGTGTAGGCCCGCCTGGGGACGGGGTGCGGCGTGGTGGGAGGGGGGGCGGATGGAAGGGTAGATGGGGGGGCGGGAATAGGAGGGGAGCAGGGCCCTCCCCATCTCCTCCTGCCCCTAGCCGGGCAGACTCAGCTCCTGGCTCGCTGGAGTTCTGGGTTGTCCCAGCAGTGATCTATGTCTTGAAGCTCTGATGTCTGCTCTGTCTGGTCTTCTCTTCCCTAATTATTTTGTTTTTACTCCCCTCCTCCTGCTCCTCTCGCTCCCGTCCCTCTTCTCGCTATTGGCCTGATTGCTTTTCTGTGATTCTCTCTGTCTCCTCTCGTGGGTCTCCTCCTCTATTTGTCTCTTTTGATGTTTCCTTCTTTCACTTTTTCACACACACACACACATTTCTTCCCTCCCCTCGCTATCACCATAGGACCCTCCTCCTTCCACTTAATTCCTTCCATCTGCAGAATAGCTTTGCAGGCCGGCTGCGCCGAGGGGGGGCCCCGGGTTCCTGCCCCAGGAAGGACTCCCCACCCCCTTCCCTCCTCCTCCTCGTTCCTCTCCTATTTCTGCTCTGCGTCCTGCCTTGCTTCTCGACCCTCTCCTCCTTCCTTGCTCCATCCTCAATACACCCTGATCCCTAGGAGGGGCGCCAGGACCCCATCTAGGCCTGGAGATCTCAGGAACCAAGATCTGCGCAGGGCAGAGTGGGAGGAATCCCGCGAAGCCTTGAGGCCTTCACCCCTCAGTCCCTGGACAATCTGCTCTGAGCTAACTCCCAGCTCTTGCCCACCGACCAGGAATTCTCCCCTGCCCTCACAGGGGAACTGGTGGCCTTGCAGCTATTGAAATCACTTCTGACACCTCCAACTGGGATCTAGGGGTATCCTGCCATGTCTTCAAATATCATCTAAGTCATTTCTAAGTGTCACCTAACCTCTGGGAGTGAGATGAGAATGACCAGAATTCTAATTCTGAGGTGATTGTGAAGTTTGCCAGGTTGGGTTTCGGGAACAGAAGATATTTCATAAATGTCAGTTCTCTGCCACTATCCTCTCCACTGTGACTTACCTGTTGTAAGCAAGAACTGTGAATGCTTGAACCAGAATGGCCTTCAATGGTGGCCAGCTGATTTCTGGTCCACCAACGAAGAGCTCCTTTTGCCTCAAATCTCTGTGTTTCCAAAGAGGTTGTCTATCAAACAATGTGCAGTTGTTAATATAAATGATAACATGCATGCTGATCACATCTCAATATTTTAATTCATCAAAAAACACCTATACAGTCCCCTTCATATATTTAAGCTGTGTGAAATGTATTTAAGAAGGAGATTTATGATAGTTGGAAATAATAAATATGAGACCTATGTGTGTAATGTGTGTGTATGTGAGCATGTGTGTGCATGTGTCTACTAGTCTTAGAGTTGAACATGGTCTGGCCACTGTCTCAGCTTATTCACTCAAGGCTGGCGCTCTACCACTTGAGCCACTGCTCAGCTTTCTGCTGGTTCATTGGAGATAAGAGTCTCAGAATATCCTGCCCTGGCTGACAGTGAGCCACCATCCTCAGATTTCGGCCTCCTGAGTAGGTAAGATTTCAAGTATGACCTATATTTGGCTGACATGAGACACATTTTATTCTCGGGAATTTCCAGAATGCTACAGCTTTCTGAGCTTTCAAAGGTAGGGAGGAGAATTTGGAATTACTAACCAAGACTTTTTCTAGACTTCACAGAGAAAACTACTGATCTGAGAGTTGATGTCTTGAATTGTACAAGCAGGTAGTTGGGGAATCCAGAGGAGAACCTGAGACATTGGTGCCATTCTAGAGTTCTTTGTTTCTGTCGCCCATTCACTCTAGACAAAAATTGTCCTATTAGGTTAAAGGACTAGTATTTTTCCCAAGTATGGGCTGCAAATTCAACTTCTAAGGGTTAGGCAGGTGATCAGCAGGGCAAGACAATAAGTAGGTGGTAATGAGACCTGTGGGAAACTAAAACGCTAGCCAAAAGAAATACTTCTGTTATGTTGTGGGCATAAAACTAAGAATGTAAATTGAGAGCCAATGGGTCATGCCTGTAAGCCTATCTACTCATGAGGCTGAGATCTGAGGATTGAGATTCAAAGCCAGCCTTAGCATGAAAAACTGTGTGACTCTCATCTCCAATTAATCACACATAAAGAGAAAGAAAGAAAGAGAGAGAGAGAGAGAAAGTCTAGAAGTAGTAGACCTCTATCTTTGAGCACAAAAGCTAAGGGACAGTGCCAAGACCCTAAGTTCAAGCCTCTCAAGCCCTAGTATTTGCACACACACACACACACACACACACACACAGAAACACATGCAAGACTAAGGATCTGATACCTACTCAGTGATAAAAAGGATTATAAGAGAATACTATGCACATTTGCATGGCACTAAATTAAACAAATTAGATGAAGCAAATTCTTCTCCCTTTCCCTACCCATGGCACACTTGCTCAACACATGAGCTTTGTACCCAGTAGGTGATCGATAAATGTGAGCAACATCCAGGAAGTTTGACTGAATTCACCTTGCTGACCTAAGATCAGCTGCTTCATTGGCTACAGAAGACATGCTGTGGGACAGAGGTTGTGTCTGTAGTCTAGTACCAGACCAAAAGACTGGGCCGGGTCCCAGGTTTGTGCCTCCTACCCTGGCCACACCAACTTCTGAGCTTGTCAGAAGTTCTTATTAAAACCCTGGCTTTCATCTGTCTTTGGGAGGGTAAGGGCACAGCAATAAAGGGACAAAGAGTGAACAAATGCAGCAGTGGTACTAACTAGACACTATGTTGAAAATGAACTACGCAACTTGTGGATGGGATAGGGAGGGAAAAACTGAGAAAGAGAGAGAGAGAGAGAGATTGTCCAAAAGGAAATATACTCATTACCTGACTTACATAATTGTAACTCTTCATACATCACCTTATAATAACAATTTTAAAAAGTGGGGGTGGGGAGCTGGGAAAGTGGCTCAATGGTAGACTGCTTGCCTTGCATGCATGAGGCCCTGGGTTGGATTCCTCAGCACCACATAAGCAGAAAAAGCCGGAAGTGGCGCTATGGCTCAAGTAGTAGAGTGCTAGCCTAGAGCTGAAGAGCTGAGGGACAGTGCCCAGACCCCAGAGTTCAGGCCCCATGACCAACAACAACAACAACAACAATAATAATAATAAACTAAGTAAGGGGAAAAAACTGGCTTTTTGCTAGGTGCTGGTGGTTCATACCTATAACTAGCAACTCAGGTGGCTAAGATCTCAGGATGGCTGTTTGAAGCCAGCCAGAGCAGGAAAAGTCCATGAAATTCTTATGGCCACTAGTAAATAACTAGCTAAATAAAAAAGACACAAGTGGAGCTGGAACTCAAGTGGTAGAGCTCTGAGCCAAAGAAGCTCAGAGACGGTGCCCAGGCCGCAAGCTCAAGCCCCAGGATGGGTTCCACTGAGGAGGAGGCACTGCAGCCCAGGAAAAAGAGACTTGCTAAGTCAACTGTTAAGTCCGACAGCCTAACCACCCCCCATCTCTGCTTCACAGGTCCCAGTGCTCCCAGTGAAGCAACTCTGGCCTCATATTTGCATCTTAGAGCCAAAGACAAGAGGAACTCCCAGACCAGGTTGAGCCTAGGTCCCTTTCCTCGTGAGGTGACTCCAGCTACTCCATGGTCTCCAGAACCAGGCAATGGAGAGAAGACAGGATTTAGAGAAGAATGGCTGTTCATGAGCCCTGGAGCAGATCTCTGCCCTCTCTGTAAACTGTAATTTGCCCAGTCAACAAATGAAAATGCTCCTTCCCTCCCTCTCCCCAGATACACACACTGATCTGGGACTGTCAAGGGTCAAATGAGAGTGTGAACAGAATAGCTCTTTGCTAACTATGCAGCCATGTGGCAGTGAATGATAGTATTGATCATTTCAGTAATAGGAATACTCAGTTTATCTGGAGAGAAGGGCTGGGGTATATCTCTGTCTCAAAAGTCATCTTAGGTCAAACAGACCTGATTGACAGGTGTTGATGGAGTTTCCAACCAAGAGCTTTCAGCTCAGAGGAATGGGAGGAGAAGCAGGGTGTCTTGGGGAAAGAAAACAAAACAACCCCCCAAAGCAATCTTCAATTTAGGCAGCAGAGATGAGCAGGGACAAAGACAGAAGTCTCAAGTTAAGTTAGGCCAGTCCCTTCCATATGTGAAATCAAGAAACACCATGTTTACAGGCTCAAACCTGTAATTCCAGCTGCTCAGGAGGCTGAGATCTGAGGATCACAGTCCAAAGCCAGCCTGGACAGGAAAGTCCATGAGACTCTTACTGCCAATTAACCACCAAAAAGTCAGAAGTAGAGCTGTGGCTCAAGTGGTAGAACATTAGCACATCAGGGACAGTGCTCAAGCCCAGAGTTTAAGTCCTAGGACTGACAAAACAAAAACTAAAACAAAAAAATAGCACAAGCAAGGCTGAAATTATCTCTCCTCTTGGCCAGGGCCAGGCACTGGACATCTGTGGAGTGAATGTGGACACTGAAGG